TAGCACTTCTGTAAGTGCAGGGAATGGCAGGAATGTGCATTGGAGAGTCTGCAGCAGCAGTGGTCTGAAGGACTGTGGGCGGGTGTCCTGAATTTCATTGCTGAGTGCTGCAGTTTTGCCTTGCCGAAGTCTGTGTTGCTGTAGCATTGCAACTTCACTGCGTGGGCTAAGTTAATAAGCCCTGCAGAGCTAATGTGCTCTGTGTGTCCTTTTTGATGGCTGTGTGCTTTACTGGTAACTTCTGTTTGTTGGATGCTTGTGTAGTAAAGTAACCAAGACTGTTTCCTCTTCAGAATGGAAGAGAGTTTTGTAATATTCTGAGTAGACTTGATTGGTATGATTGGGAAATGACTATTAACTGTCTCCTCTAATACAGAAATTAAGGAACATGGAGTGAGATGAACAGGTAGCAGCAACCAAAATGTTACAGTCCTTCACAACGTGCTTTGACCAGTCTTGGGACCTTTTAACTTTGATCTAACTCTAGCATAGGGGATGTAGATTTTAAAACTTCAGTTAGCTTTATGCATGTAGGTTGGTAGTTGAGAAGATTGTAAATGATAGACCAAATAGAGAAGGTAAGTCTCATTCTGACACAAGTTAAGACAAGTGACTCTAAGATTGTTGCCAAGACTCCAGTTAACAAAACTTCCAGAAGTTAGGTAAGATATTTTCCCTAGTGGTGTAGTTCCCTATGAATGGTCTCTGAGATACAGTCTGATTTCATCCATTGAGATTTTCCTGCAGTACCCATCAATTAATTAATTTTCTGTTATTTGTATTACATTATTCTTTGCAAGCTTATAGTATCATGTAGTTAAGATTTTAACATTCTTTCTGATTTCCAGGGACATTAAGGTCATTCCGAGCTCATGTCTGAGGATTAACTCAGTATAGGTAAATTGTATAATTTCTTGCCAAATGTTGTAGATGATAAAACTTACAATTAGCTTGAATATCTGAATATTTTCTCAATAGAAGAAAAACCTATTTTGAACCTAACAGGTACATTAAGTGTAGAAACTCTAACTTAAGAAGCCCTTGAACTACAAATCACTGGAAGTTTTTACATCTTGTTTTTTCCTAATACTCTTCCCTGATCATCTACTATTGACTTCGGTTGGTGGCCAATAGTAGATGCTGGGTCAAATTAAACTTTTTGGCATTGTGGTTTTTGCATGTTGCTTTTGAATTCCGCATTTTTTTTGTTCCTGAATTCTTTGGTGATTGCCATTATTCTCTGCAGTTAAACCTGTAGATGGTAAGAGATCATTCTTTTACTACTTTAGTCTTTGTTGTCAAGTGATTCTTAGCTGAGCCTGCTCAAAAAGATGTTTAGTATGGTTCATTTTCTAAAACACTGTTGCTGCAGACTTTTGTTGTTAAAACCTTCCCTTCATATCATTTAAAATTTATTTGAAATTAGAGATAATAGCCAAATCAGTACTTTCAACTGTTTCAAAAAACCCAAAAATTAATTTGTTGATTTTTTACAATTCCCTATTTCATTATTCACCCTAATGCTGTTGTTAACGTGTACAAATAACTGACAAGATTTGCATAATTAAAATGTTCTATTTCAATTTGTTCTACAGGTTGGGCACTACTCTTATATGTGCTTAGTACCAAAGCATATACCGTGTTCTGGTTGTTTTAGGGGAAACTGTTTTCCCTCTAAACAGGGTGATTGCTTTAGCCAGTTTGCAAACAAACAATTGTGTTGATCTCATCAACAAGTTTATTTGGAAATTATCCTTAATTAAATCCCAGATGTCTGTATGGTCTTCGAAGTACTTGGACATCATCTCCTAAAATGGATAATCAAGTCCAATTATCAAGGCCTTCCCATCCGTTGTGTAAAAAGTATAATTCGACAGGTAAGATTTGTTAATGTTCTAATTGGGTTTTTCCACGATTGTCAATGGTTTGAAGGTTAGAATGATGATATTTCAACTGAACTCTTTACTGATGAATATCTAAGATAAGATCATTTTATTGGTAATCCCAGGGGGGGTTTGCAAGAGCATCTTTCTGGATAGCCTGCATTTCTGAATGCTGAGGTTTTTTGGGTTTTGTTTTGGTTGGTGGTTTGTTGTTTTGGTTTTTAAAGTGTGTCTCAGCAAGGAAAAATCATATCCATAGCTCGGTGATTTTGTATGTACTATTAATCTATGTGTAGTTAATACCTACAAATGACGAATGAAGTATTTTGGCACTTAGGTAACTTTTATTGCCTTTCATCAACATTACCTCTATTTTCTTATGAAGCGATCTGTTAAAGTAGTTACTTTCTTTGTAATTATTATTTTATGGCAACTGGTGAATATCAACCTATCAGCTCTTTAATCAGAATTAGCTAAATAACCTGATTGATGTGGTTGTTAGTATACAGTTGAAATTTTGGATCCATGAATTTCAGTATAACTAGGTGGCTCAGATACTAGAAATAAGGAGCTGTAGTAATGCAGTGCTCCAGCCAAACGGAGCTGCCTGCTAAGAAATGGAGATGTGTGTATTTGTATTACATGTGCATGTAAGTATCCACAGTTTTCAGTAAATGTATTTTTTTGTTGTTTGGAATGTTTACACTTTGGTTGCACTATTGTCCTGGAGTTTGGCCAAAATCTGACAAATTATGGTGTAATTTCTTGATATACCGGGTTTAGCAGCAAAGCCAGGTTTAAAAGCTCCCTGCTGCGATTTACTCGTACCTTAGTTACACTGCCTGTTTGTAGAAACTGAAGGGATCCAAGCTGAAAACAACCCCTTTTTGGAAGGAAGGTGAAAACTTCTGAACCCAGCTTCACAGCGACTTTACTAACAGGCTCCTGTACCTTAGGAGGAGGACTTTCAGGTGGGATCTTCAGGGCTGGTGACCACAACCCTGTGAGAAGTAGAGTCAGCAAGGACAGGGGCCTGAAGGACAGAATTATGGGAGAGGCTCTCAGTGCTTTCTCTGATCATCATGGCTGGGGGACCTGACTGAAGTGGCATATACAAATGCATACAGCATGGGGAACAAGGACATCCATATGCAGTCACGGAGCAATGAGTTCATTGTGAGCACAAAGGTGTGGTGGGATAGCTCAGATCCCTGGAGAGCAGCAGTAGCCTGATAAAGTAGCCTTAAGAAAGAATGGCTAGGGAAGAGGACTTGAGCTTAAATGTTTGAATCTTTGCTGTAGAGTGGGTCAGAGTCAGAGGGGAGACCAGCAAGGGTGACGTCATGGTATATATCTTCTACAGGTTGCCAGCTTCCAAAGTAGATGAGAAGTTCTTTAGATAACTCAAATAAGCTGGTTCTTATGGGGCCTTCTAACCACCTTGATGTGTGCTCTGGTGGGGCATGTGCAGTCAAGGAAATTTCTGGAGTGTGTTGAGGACAATTTCTCAGCATGGGGTGAGCTGTGTCTCAGCAAGGAGAGAAGGTGGAGATGGACCTTGCTGGACTGTTCACGAATGAGGAAGAACTAGTTGAAAATGTGAAGAGAAGATTGATGGCAGGCTTGGTGCAAGGGGTCTTGGTAGACAAGCTGAATGTGAGTCAGTGGTGAGCTACTGTGATGACAAAAGCTAACCATGTAATAGGACACTTTAGGAAGAGTGTAGGCAGCAGAATGAGGGCTCCGTTGTAGTACTTCAGGACTCTGTACAGTTTTGGGCTCCAGGTGCCTTACTGAAGTGAGTCCAGTGAAAGGCAACAAAGAGGATGAGGGAGCTGCAGCGTATGATGTATGAGAGGTCTTGGGAGAATTGGTTTGTTTGGTTTTGAGAAGAAAAGGCTAATGAAGGGGGAAACTTTTGAGCTCTTCAGCACAGATAGAGAAAATGGTGCCATACTTTTGATACACAGAGATAGCACAAGAAGCAATGTACATGAGTTACAAAAAGAGAAAATCTGGTTATGTATTAGCAAGAAATTCTTTGTAGTCAGGGTGGTCGGGCACTGGAACAGGTTGTCTGCAGTGTTACACAGTGTTAGGCAGTCTTCACCTTAGGAGATAGTCAGAAATGAACTGGATAAAGGCTCTGAGCAGCCTGGTCTGACTTTGAGGTTATATACAGCTTTGAAGGTGGTATGACTTAGACAGGGAGGGTTTGAATCACACAGTCTTCCAAACTAAATTACTCTTTGAATGTAAACAAAGGTAAAAATTCCAAGTAATTCAAACATTTGAAACCTGGAAAAAGAGGAATGGGTTAGTACTGAAAGATTTAGAAGGTTTAATTTTTGTGAGATTGGAATGAACTGTTTGGACTAGTGAGAGTGGCATTGACTGGTAAGACTTCCAGGTTGTTCATCTCATTAAAGATAATACAGGTCCTTATTCTTTCTTCTACTCAGACAACACTACACATGTTCTAAAAACTTATTTATGAAACTTGGATATGAAACAATTCAATTATTGCACTGGTGTTACTGTACAACAAACCATTTTATTTCAGAAGGTACTATAACTCTATACTATGAGTGAAAAGGAATTGTTTATGCTATTATTTGGAAAATATTTTTTTCAATTTTTGAGTACTTTTGAGCGTTGGGACAAAATTAGGCTTATTTTAAAATGCAGCTGAGAGTTGAGTTTCTTAATAAGAATTTTTTTTCAGTTTCAGCAGTTTTTTTTTCCCATGGGCTAGAGTTACATGAACTGTTATGCAAGAGAAGACTTTGCAGAATTGAAAAAAGGGCTAGTTACTGCAGACCCTTTTTTGCAGTGGAGATGATTGGAAATGTCCATTTATTTAATTCTGGAATCCTTACTTTGGATTGTAAAAGTCTATATAGCATCAGTCTTTTAAGAGGATCATGTTCTGAAACCGGTGCTGAAATGAGTGTCATGTATTTGATAAATGTAAATTTACACTTTTGCTTTGATCTACGGTATGGTAAATAATCTGTTTAATGGGTCAATATGATGTGGCTTCTTGAATGAGAAAGAAATAAGTGAATATTAGTTAGAAACTGGAAATCATGAGTTTCTTTGTGTGAAACTAACCATGTGACCTTTTACAAGGGGAAAAATACAGCCTTCTAATTTACATTTTTGATTGTAATTACAGGATCTGTTGTAATTTTTCAGAGTCACAATACATTAGCCATTTCATTTTTTTTCCTTTTTAAGTGGACAAATAAATAAAAACTAGGGGTGTTTTCCCTGTTCTCCATGATCTCAGAGCACAGTGCAAAGCGTGTCCATGTAGTACACATTTCCTTATTGGTTAGTGGTATAATGTACTTCCGGTTTTTAGAGTGAAGCAGTCTGATCCACATTTTAAGACAGCTAAGAACATTCTTTCTAATCATAAAATTCTAGCAGAGTGGTCCTTGTGGTAAGTCATGGAACTGATGGGGATTTTAAAAAATACTGTTGTGTTGTCGTCCGTCCATCAGTCCATCCCCCCCAAGACTCTTCAGCCAAATTAAAGACAAAGCTGTCACCCTAACACTGTTACTCACAAGGGGGAAAGGCTGTTGGTTTTAAAATGGGAGATACCAAATCTAGTTTCACATAAATTCCACTTCTGCATATTGCAGTGGAAAAGGTTTTTTTCTTCTGAATGTTTCTGGCTTTCGGTGTACTCTGGAATCTTTTTTTTCTTGGCCTCAGAATTACAGACATTCAATGGTAATTTGTAAGATGGTCTGTAGTGTAGTGGGGGAGGAAAGAGACTATTATAATCCATCTTTATGTGGCTATTGCTGTTAATACTTCTTTTAAAATTTGAGGTCACTTAACCACTAACTGCCTTCCCAGTATAAACCAGTATTTCTTTAACATGTCTTTCTTGGAGACATACTGTATGTTCTTTCAGTTGCTTTGGCAGGTAGTCAAGTATATTTTGGATCTGCAGGAAAAAAATCCATATTATCAAGAACGCAGCAGTGTTTACCATTGTCACTGATGCTGAGTCCTGCTCAAGTGAATGTATGGGTTTTATATAGGCCTATAAAGAAAGCTTTTCAGAATGGTTGCTATTCTAGTCTAGCTCCAGAACTGGAGAAAGCAGAGCTGTGCACCTCAGGTGTTCCTAGGGTATGTTAGCCTGAGTGTAAATATCATATGCATGGTGCTGCTGCTCTTCCCTTGAGCTAGCTTGTGTGCTGGATGGATATACCAGTTCTGGTACTGGCTCAGGACTGGATGGTAGACTAATGTCTTTATATTCTGTTACTGGTATTTTGAACCAACATGTTTTGCTTTTAAAGTTCACCCTAGCTAGTTTTGTCCTAAAGGATCTTGAGAACAAGGAGCTTGCTGATTTATTTACAAAATACCTAGAATGACAGGATGTTCTTGTAGGTGGAGCTCGTGAGTCTGGAGGTCTGTTTCCTGCTGTAGAACATTCTCTAAAAATTGAAAGAAGTCTTTTAAGTGGGGTCAGCTAGGTTTCTGCTTTTTTTTTTCTTTCTTGCTGATAATTTTCTAGGATATTTATATAGATTATCATAGCAATAGCTTTGTTTATGCTGTCACGTTATTCTATACTGAATAATTATAGTAATTGATTTCCACAGTTTATCATACCTAGGTCTTACCTAAAATACTTGTAAAATCACACAAACTATGGTATTTCTGTTCCAGTCAGAAATTGAGACATTTTTTCATTGTGTAAAAATGATGTTTTCATTTTTGTCTCAGAATGCATTTTTAAGACTTTGGATATGAACTAGCTGAATTTAGCCTGCAGAGAGTATAAAAGACTAGTGGAAAAATACATGTGACAAATACAGGTAGACAAATCCTTATGTGATGTCTTGATTACATTAAAAGCTGAATTACTATTGGTATTTGGTAGATTTAGATTAAGTATTATGAAGAAGTTCTTTACTGTGAGGGTGGTGAGACATGGGATGGGAACAGGTTGCCCAGAGAAGCTGCTGGATGCCCCTTCCCTGGAAGCGTTCAAGGCCAGATTGGATGGAGCCTTGAGCAACCTGGTCTGGTGGAAGGTGTCCCTGCCTGTGGCAGGGGGATTGGAACCAGGGGATCTTTAAAGTCCCTTCCAACCCAACCCATTCTGTGACTCTATGATTCTAAGGAATACTATAGTCAGCATTTCATCCTAACACCACATTTCCCCTTTTGCCTTTTTTTATAATCAATTGCAAGGTGGTTTTTCACAAACCAGACTTCGCTTACAGTATGTAGTACTTGCGGTGTTTTTTTTTCCCGAATAACTATCTTTTAAACAATGCGCCAGTTGAGGATCAGCCTTTCAGACTGAGCAGCCAGATTCCTTTTTCAAAGGAAGATTCATCAGGGTATTTTTACACATGTGCTGAACAACTAAAGAGCACTTGGGAAATGGAAGTCTGTGAGCAGGTTGCTGTCATCGAGACAATTCATCCAGCCAGCATCTTACTCATGAAAGTCTCAATAACTGGATTTATAAGCTAAAGAAATTATCCTGTCAGGCCACATATGGACTGCAGGCAATCAGTTGAACATCTCTGTACTGATAATAAATACATTCAGCTTGGTCTGGGTAATTAAAATAAATTTTTAAAAAAGCCTTTTGTAATTAGGTACTTCAAGGTCTAGATTATCTACACAGCAAGTGCAAGATCATTCATACGGATATAAAGCCAGAAAACATTTTGATGTGCGTGGATGATGCCTATGTTCGTAGAATGGCTGCTGAAGCTACTGAGTGGCAGAAAGCTGGTGCTCCTCCCCCCTCTGGCTCAGCAGGTATGATAGTATATTTAAATGCAATGTAGTAAAGTTCCATCAGTATATTAATGCTAACAATATTTTGTTTAATGAAAATCAGCATTTTAAATAATTGTGTGTGAAAAATGCATGTCTAGTTAGTTCTTATTCACGCTCTGGAAACTCAGGGAAATTGTTTCTTCTCAGTTTTGCACGTTGAAGTTTTTGTGTGCCCCAGGTACAGAGAAAGATTTATTAGTATAAACTTACTCTCCTCCCACCCCACAAGCTAGTTTTTAGCAGCACCGGAGCCTTTCATCTCTAATATTGACAGTAATTAATAATCTTATCTAAATTATGTGTTTAGTTCCATTAGAGGTTCGTCAGCATCCTTGTGAAATTATCTGCCTTCTCGTCAGTTATAACTTAATCTCAGAATGCAATGAAAAGCCTTAAAGTCAGTAGTTTTCACCCTTGAAAATAGAATTTATTGTACCTAACTGAATTCATGGTAAGCCCTTCTCACTAGCACTGTATGTGAAATGGTTTACATTAAGCTTGCCAGGAGTTTAGATAGGAGCTGTACATTGCGTTTAGCTAGGAGAAACCCAAGTAAAGAAGTTCACAGCAATCAGTAAAGACAAACAAAGAGGACGTATGGCTTTTCTAGTGATCTTTAGTACCGTGGTTGCTGTTTATTTCCCAGTTGAGCACATCAGCTACAGGCAGTGGAGAAATAATTTTTAAATACCTTTGTAATATTGTCAGACAGTATATAACAGATTAAAATCTCTGAGGTGTAATGACAACACCTACTGTATCAGAAAAAAATACTGTGGTCAAAATCCATAAATATTTCACAGTGTTACATATTTTAAGATGCAAATTATTACAAATTGTGAATATGTTGTGTTGAATTTTACATAATATGTAGTCACATAGCTAAAGACTTTATGTTACTTGTGTGGGAAGTAACTTGATTTTGTTCATGCAGCCTTTGTATTACATCTTGACATTAAAATAAATATTATTTTAAGGAATATATTGATGGAATTCTTATCACACTTTGTTTTTAGCAAATTGTAATAAAATCTATGGCTTTCCACGCAGGAGCTGAGGATGTGTTTTCTTCATAGCATTTCAAGAATAAGTTCTGCATAATTTCCCTTTTTAAAGCAGTGGTGGTACTCAAGTTTAAGACTCTTTTTGAAAACCTTGCCCTTCAGGGGCATGCAAGCAGTTTTTGTCCCTGAATTTAGCAGCAGGAGCTGAACCTATAAAAGGGCTCTGAATTCTCAATGTCTCCATTCTTATTTTGCATTTGTTAATTTTTGTATGCTTGTGTGTCTGAAGAAGTTCTTGAGAGGTTCTCCTCCCCCATTCAGTTCTTCTTTCTCACTTCCACTTTGCCTCTGTCTCCTATATTTGGTTATTTCTATTGGTTTTGGTTCTTTGGGGGGTGTATGGCTTGTGTGGCTGTTCTGCGCCTTTTCACAGTTAGTGTTGCAATCTTACCGGACCTAGTCAGTGATGGGATCCTTCTGAGAGAAGCGTAGGAAGAGGTCCATGCTGGAGATGCTTTTTCGGTGGTGGTGTGCTTTTTGCCATAGGTGCTTCTTCATGCCTTCAGTCCTAGCAATCAAACTACCCTGTTTCAGAGCAAAGGAAACATGAATATTTGACTTTTCTGTGGAGTGCGACAGTAACCATTGTTGATATTCCCTGGGCTATTTGAAAATCTGCCTGTACCTGCTCAGTCAACTGACTACGTACATTTAATCTGTGACAACTCTGCAGTCATTTAATGTTTTCTGTCCACTCTTTACTAATTCACACTTTCCTTTCTGACTTTCATTAACTCTTCACCAACCACAACAGAGTGAACAGAAATTGATGCTAGCTTCTTCCAATTCCAGATGCTCTAATGGAGACATCAAATGATTTCAGGCAGCAGGTACTTGTAAAGAGTAAAAAGTCTGGCTAAAAGAAAAAAAAAAAAAAGACTGTCTTATATTTAGTGAAGAATATTCTTTCATGATTTCTGCTACTTTCTGCTTTTATAGAGTTGGTTTTATAAAAATATATCTTTTAAATTATTTTTTTTTCTTTTTAGTGAGTACAGCTCCACAACAAAAGCCTGTAAGTATTGTTATGTTATTCAAATTAGCTGTCTTATTTTCTGTGTTTCTCTAGGTATTAGTAGCTGTTAGACTGTTGGTAGTGTTTACCCTGTTTAAAAGCTTTCTTTGAATAATGCTTTTGTCTTTCAAAGAACACTTTTCTTTTAGTGTCTTTGGCCTTACCATTTTTAAGCACGATATTTCTCTGATGGAAACTGTCATAGACTTACAATTCTATAGCTATGTCAAAGAAAGTTAACATTGCCATTTTCGTCCCTCAAGGAATAATCCATTCCATTCAAATCCTGACAAAAATGGGTGCGTGCACTAAATATCATGTGTTACAGATAGCTTAATGATTTAAAGGCCTTAATCATCAAGGCCTTAAAGGGTTTTTTTATGAAGTTTGAAAGATCTTTTTGCCATATACATATAGCACATAACCACTGATAATAAAGCTCTTTAGAAATATCTAAGGTCAAACCTGCTTTCTACATCTGTGTCTACAGAACATATGTAACTTCAGTGGGCACACAACGTGGATGAAAATTAATAGGATTGTCAAATAACTGTCTTGTTTTGACTATCCCATAGCTGCTTTTGAAGAGAACAGGATTTACAGATAAACATTTGAGAAAATATTATTTCCTTTTGTTCCTTGTACTTTATTTTTAATTATATGAGGATTTCTTACTGTGATATCTAAACAATGAGTGAAAACTGGATAGATGTCAATTATCAAATAGTAAAAATAGAATTCAGAATTGAGTTAAAATGTAAGAAAGTGTTCCAGTCGTAGCTTGGATATATTAATTTTTCTTTTCCTTGTTACTGTACCTGAGTTTTTCATTCCTTATGGTATATAAAATGTGAAACTTTTCATAATGGCCATCTGTTGTTTGTGATTCATATGTTTTGGGCCAGAAGTGAATAATAAAAATGCTTTCCTTTCACAGTGAAATAGCTGAACAACACAGGATTTATTAAAAATTCTTTACCATTTTCAATTTCTTTGGCTTTCTCATATCCTTTTTTGCAGCATACTTTTGCTGGTCATTACCTGCATTGTACAGAGAGAGAAATCATGTATATAATTTATATTTAAATAACTAGATATGATAGCAGACTATCTTCCACTTACAATATAACCTGTTAATGTAGATTGAAGTTGAAGGTTATTGTGCCTAGTCAAGATTATAGGATCACAGGAATTTTACTATGGCATCTTAGATGTAATTTGCTCTTGTAGTCTAATAATCAATATGTAAATACTTGTATAACTATTTAAAATTTTTATCGCTTTTTTTGCCTCATATAGCGATACATCCTTCTTGATTTGAAGGAAAATGGAAAAAGCAGTGTATTTACTTTCTTATTTGCCACCTAGTATTTTCAAATAAAAAGTAATCATACTGCAAATGAGTTTGGTGTGAGATGCCTTGGGAATAATTGTTTAATTTTTTTTGTTTTCTTAATGTTTCAGGTTGGAAAAATATCCAAAAACAAAAAGAAAAAGCTGAAGAAAAAACAAAAGAGACAAGCTGAGCTGTTAGAAAAACGCCTGCAGGAAATAGAAGAACTAGAGCGAGAAGCTGAAAGGAAAAAAATAGAAGAAAATGTAACCTCAGCTGTACCATCAAATGAACAAGAAGATGAGTACCACCCAGAGGTGAAACTAAAAACAGCTGATATAGAAGAGGTAGTAGATGAAGAACCTGGAAATGATGATGGTTAGTATTACCTGCATTTATTGACCCTGAATTTACTGTTTCAGAGGGGATGGTAATTGCAGCATTGCATCTGGTGCAATGAGCAGAATCTCCAAAGTGTCCTAGATCATTAAGTTTCATTTTATCCTATAGGTAAAATCATAACTACAAAGTCTAAGAAGAAAAAGAAAAGTCAAACCTACTATAGCAGTGAAGAAAAACATCAATAGCAATCTAACTGTCAAATCCCATGGAAGAGCATATAGAAAATTTAACAGAACAGTCAGTTTTGATACCACGTTAAGTGACGTAATTGAGTATCTTGGCGAGATAGAGTTAAAATAAGATAAATTTGTATTCTGTAACAGTAATGTAATTAGAATCATTGTTGCTTTCCCCCTTTTCTTGTTACAATGTCTGTTGTAACGATCTATCTGGTAATAATAATTGCAGCTTATTCACTAAAATTTTTAGGACATGTTAAAATTCTTGTTTAGTTCTGGTGATTTGGACCACAATTGTTGCGCGTCCAGCTTCATTCTGGCTTCCCTGGTTTTCTTGTCAGCTCTATCCACTTCTGATAAGAATGTAACTACTGAGACTGTTGTTTGGTTTGGTTTAGTTTTGTTCTGCGAATTTTCTTACTTCTAGGATATGACTCCCTGTTTGACACAGGTTGAGTTACTGATTTGTAAAGCTTTCTTTCAAGACCTCATGTATCTTCCCTTCATAACATTCTTCCCTTCTGAATGATACCCTCCAGAACCACTTCCCATTGTTTATTTTTTCCAGTAGCCTTTTTAGTTCTTTCTTTCTCCTTTAAATTAGATTTTAAGGTCTTTGCATATTTCAGTTATATTCAGTGTTTCCTTATGTGATATGTCAGTAGTCAGGTAGTTACTGAAGAGTTTAAAATTATGAATGCCTAATTTCAAAATGATATATTGATGTATGAACTGATTTGTTGCTCCTTGAAATTTTTAAGGTGAAGCAGAAGATCAGGATGAAAAAGAAGACACAGAAAAAGAAAACACTGAAAAAGATGATGATGTTGAGCAGGAACTTGTCAACACTGACCCTGCAGACCCCAAGTGGATAGAATCCCCCAAAACAAATGGCCACATTGTGAATGGCCCATTCCTATTGGAACAACAGATTGAAGATGAAGATGAGGAAGAGGAAGAATGTCCAAATCCAGAGGAGTATAATCTTGATGAGCCAAATGCAAAAAGTGATTACTCTTATAGCAGCTCCTATGAACAGTTTAATGGTGAATTGCCAAATGGACGTCATAAAATTCCCGAGTCACAGTTCTCTGAATTTTCAGCTTCAGTGTTCTCTGGGGCTCTGGAGTCTGTAGCTTGTGGTTCTGCTGTTTCTGAAGGATCAACTGTAACCGAAAGAGAGGAGAGCAGCCCATCTCACGACAGGAGCAGAACAGTTTCAGCTTCAAGCACTGGGGATTTGCCAAAAAGTAAGTATTTGCTTAGTGGCATATACCATGCTTGAAGACTCTTGGAGCTGTTAGGTGGTGTCTTAAGTAGAATGAGCAGCAGGGTTAAACCTTTTATGTATGTTTTATCTGTGTTCACTGACGTATATGCAGATTTTAGTTTTTATTTGTTTTGGGGTTTTTTGGTGAAAATTCAACACCAAGCCTTATGGGCAGGCTGTCACACACTTCTTTCAGTAACACAGAAGGACCTTTCAATAACAGACAAGAACTCTTATCACGCCATTTCCCTGACTTTGATTGGACACTAGGTGCAGCACTTCTCAGTGCAACAGTAGTGTTGACTTTTCTCTACCTACAGGTGAAGTGTTTTAAATGTTTTTAGTTTCTGGGTTTGTGCCAAACCTACTAATGTCCTGGCCCGCTCTGTGCTTGAGTCTGAAGAGTGACAACTGAAAAGATGATGCCTGTGTGCCAGCCTCTGCAGTCAGAGAAATCTGTGCAGACTGCCCCCACATGCTCTCTTTCCTAGGCATTCCCCAGACTTGGGGACAGAGGTGGGATTTGGGGTCAGATTAGCCATCGCTAGGGTTGGGTTACAGCTGCAGCCCACTACTGGAAACCATTTTTTCATTGTTGGCTGATTTCATCTTCTTGGTTTCATCTACACTGAACATTTTGCTTATTGAATCATACATCGTATGAATGAAAAGTCTTAATTATGATCATTCTAAATTTAGTATTTCATCTTGGAAGACTTTTGGCAAAAAGGCAGAGGAGATATCTAGAAATTACGAGGAGGCTTTTAACTTAGTTTGGTCCCAAAGCTGTCTGGTAAATTTTGACCTCCTAGAACCAAGGGAAAGCAAATGTATTAGTTTCGAATTCCCTTTAGAAATAAAAGGGGGGAAGAAAAACAGTTTTAGTTTGAGTTGAGGGAAGACATTTTTTCTAGTAGCATGGGTGTCTATTACATTAAATAAAAGAGACGAGTAAGTGGAATAGAAAGGCAGTGGTTAGGTTAAAAAAAAATTGTAATAGTCTCATTAAAGGCAGTGGCTTAGCTAAGCTTACTTTAAGTAAATTGCATGATTGTTCTTGCGTTCAAACCTGAGAGTTTGATAGATACAGCTTGGAACACAATGAAGAAATGTTCTTCTTAAATTCAAACAAGTCTACCATGTTAAATTTTAAGAGGAAAGCAGAACTGTGATTTTAAAAAAAAAAAAAAAAATTTGTTTTCTGCTGTAGAACTTGTTTTTAAGGGTATTAGATAAGCTGTTATAGATTAAATATTTGCACTGACAGGTCAGTCTACGCAGGAACGAGAAAAGGAAGTTCATAGTTGCCAGTAAGCGTTATTCCCATAGTTTAAGGGCAGAAGGTGATCGTGAGATCATGTAACCTGTCTTCCTGTTGTAACAAGCCAGTGATACACCATCTGTTAAGCCCGGTAACCTTTATGTTTGGCTTAAAACATATTTTCCAAAAAGAGACCTGCTCTTGATTTGTACAAATGAAATGATAAAAAAAGTCTAGCGTGGTTAAATTGTGTTCAAGTGGTCAGTACTCAGAATTGTTGCAGAAGGATTGTACCTAGTTTGGATTTGTCTGGTTGCAGCTTCTAGCTATTACTTCTTGTTATATCTTTTCTCAGTAATATTAAAAAAGTCTGTGATATGCTGTGTTTTCATTCATTAATGTTTTTTTTTCCGTTTCAAACCGTTCCTCTCTTAACCTTTTATTGAAACTCAACAAGATGAAGTCTTTGTCTCTCTAAGGCATGTTGCCAACCCACAACTCCTTGTGGCTTTTCTGTATTCAGTGTGGTTTTGGACACTTAAATTCTGGCCATCAGAACTGCTCAGATCCAAAACTTTTGCCTGTAAATCCTGTTATTGAAGACACGGAAGGTGAAATCTTGGTGTCATTGGAAAGAGCTGGATTTTTGCCATTGAATTAAATAGCTCCAGGATATTACGCACAGGTTTTATTTATAGTGCTGGGGCTATGATAAATATATGGGTTTCAACTTTAATAAAGAAAATACTGAGAGACTAAATCTGTAAGCGGATAGAAGAAAATGAGATAGCTTAGGGAGAAGATCACCAAGCCTGCATCAGCATTGTCCCAGATGAAGTTACTAAATTTAAATAGAGATGTATTGAAAAATACAGTTGAGTGTATTTCTTGGTTTAAGACTTTAGAAGAGCAATTCACAGAGTTTATTACAGAGTCTGTAATAAGGTAAGGTAATCTGCAGGTAGACAAGAAATGTGAAATAAAATACAACCGAGTAGAGCTGTATTTCTGGAAAATGTCATGATCCAGGCAAATAAGTCTTCCAGTCCATGTCCTTACACTTTGTAGTTCCTGAAGCAACGTACATACAGAAGATTCCTAGATGCCTGGTAACCTCTTCCTTTGTGCTGCTGGCAGTATAGAGGCAGAAAGCGTCTACTGCTGTTTTCCTGGGGTGATATGTAAAATCCTCATGCCTCCAGAGAGTAAAGCCAGTTCTGTCATCATGGGAGCAGCTTACCTTGATAGCTGGAGAAACAAACCTGCTTTATTCCCCCTTGATGTTATCTTATCAGGAGCAATTTACAGACCTTTTGTGCAAAGAAAGAAGAAAGATAATAAATTCAGCCATAGCTCACTTCTGCAGAAATAGGAAAAGCTGAATTATAAAGTTATAAATATTTATGGTATTAATAATAATGTGGGTTAAAGAGTAATAAAACAGATTTAGGTATTTAGAAAGAATAAAGATAAAAAGAGTTGCAGGCTATTGATTATTTTTAAATGGTGGTGGTACTTCACTATAACTTCAGTGCCCTTTTCTTGTATAGAAGTAGGTTTTACTTGTTCCCCTCTGTCTAGGCATTGCTATACATTATTAAGTAACAAGGTCTCTAATCTTATTTTTTCGGGGTACTTGCCTCATTCAGTGCACAGGCCAATTTGTGTTCAGTGGATGAGCAGCTGTTAAGTTTTTATCTTTTTCAAGTTTTCACTGCATGACAAATACCCTTAAGATAGATCTGTTAATTTGCTCATGACTCTCTTCCTCATTCCAGTGTTTGAATGTTTACTAAGTATCCTATCATGCTGAGACTGTGAGAAGAGGAGGTGGTATTTCTCAGTTTTATGGAACTAGGACACACAAAAGTGAAAATCATAAATGCTCACTAATTTTGCACTCAGGTTGAGCTCCTTTGTATGCTTTTTGGTAGTACTTACTAAAAAGCATGCTCCTTTTGACTTTGCTTTCAGTTGTGAATGATCTGTGTTTGTCCAGTTCAGAATCCAAGGTCTCATACTCATCTCCTAGGGTATGGGACATAAACTTCATGAGTTCCCAAGACAAATGTGAAAGTGTAGGCACTTGCCTATTACATTGTCAGGTCACTCTGTTAGAAGAAGGTTGAAGAAAGCTGTTTTCTAATGTCGTATTCAGATGTCTTACTGATGAGGCTTTTCCCCCCCTTCATTCTGCTTTATTTACTGCACTCCTTCACCTTCAACAAGGCGTGTAGGAAGGATTTATCTAGCACTGAGAAAGGTCCTGTTATTTCTTGAATAATGCATGTGATTGTGTTTAAAAAAAAATTAGACTCTACTACACAGCATGCTCGTAAGGGAAGATTAATATTAGGCTTACTAGTTCCTGTCTTTTAAGTGCTGGATTGCAACCTTATTCTCTCAGTGTACTTTACTTTTATGCCCCATATTGGTGCTTTTTTTAAGCTTCAGTCTTGGACTCCATTCTAGCATTTTAAAGGATTGTTTTGTTGAGGTCACTGCACCTTGTGTCTTGTGCTGTTTAGTCCTGTCTTTTCTTTCCTTCTCTCCCCTGGTGGATCCTGCCACTTTCTTTTCTGGTTGGCCAGTATTTCAGTGCCCCGATGGCCCATTTAGGCTTGCTGTCCCAGCAGTTGAAGATCCTCATCTGATTTCAGTCACTCCTAACTCACCATTAGGTGTCCTTTTTCTCCTTGTCCCATGTCTGGTGTATTTTGCTCTTCCAGTTCTTGGCCAGTTTAACAGATTGTTATATCCCTGTTGGAGTCCCAGGTGCCTTTTGGATCTAGTATCTCTGTCTTATCTTACCACCAGTTTCCAGTTTAGTCTCGGTAGCTTTGGGACAAGGAAGCTGAGATCAATCCTTTGCTGCTATGTGATTTGTGATACCTGGTTCTGTCTTCTGCATTCATTTGCTTTCTTTCCAATGCGGTTTAGGAGCTAGCAGGTGGTATGTCAAAACAAAGAAAAGCAGCAGTCCTCCACTGTTTTATGCTAGGGTCGTCAGTGTCCCACGAGCCTCTAAAGATTGCAGAATTAGTTAAAATTCTGCCTTTTTAGTGTGGATCATACTCAATACAAATAGGACCTTCAGAGGACTTTGATTCAAAGCTGAATAGTCTGTGAAATGGGTGACAGTCTCATCTCTCAAATTAGCCAGGTTTCTGTGAGTCGTCTTCCCCTTGGGACAGATTTAAAATAAAATTAAAAAAAAAAAAAGAAAAAAAAAAGAAAAAAAAAAAGAGGAAAAATCCAGGCAGATTTTGGTTACCTTGGCCAAGAATGGGCATGCAGAAATTGAATTTATTTTCTCACCCAAACTGTTCCAAAAATATATCTTTCATGTGAAGTTCTTAGAGTTTGACTTTTAACATTTTGTGTCTGAATCTGTTCTTGGAAACATGCACTGTTTTTGCTTAGAAGCTTCCTCTGGATATTCTAATAATAGTTATTTGGCAGTTAAAGAATGTAAAAAATTTGCACTTGAAATGTGTAAGGTTATTTAGAAATCAAGGTAAGAAATCCTATTTATGATGCTGTAATTCCTTGTAGCATTCAGCAAATGATTTTGATGTCTTCAGTATATTACAAAACTGGATCAGTTATCAAGGCAAAACTGCTTAGAGATAGTGAACAATATGGTCAAAATACTAACTGTTCTGCATTTTGCTTGTGTTAGCAAAAACTCGTGCTGCTGACTTACTGGTGAATCCACTGGACCCAAGAAATGCAGATAAAATTAGAGTTAAAATTGCTGACCTGGGGAATGCCTGCTGGGTGGTGAGTATAACTACATCATGGTGGCTATTTAGCCTTCACGATTTAGAATGTTTTCGTTATTTCCATTAATTGTGCTTCTTTCTGTTTTAGCATAAACACTTCACAGAAGACATCCAGACAAGACAATATAGATCCATAGAGGTTTTAATAGGAGCAGGTTACAGTACACCTGCCGATATCTGGAGTACAGCATGTATGGTAAGAACAGTACAACATGTATTTTACAAGAATAAACCTACTAGAAACATTTGTCTATTTAGTGAGGAGACCTGATGAGGATGGTTCTGACATTTTGACACAAATACACTATCATGAATTACGTTGTACTGGTTATTTTTCCCCTATATTTCGGTTTCTCAAGCATTCTTAATCAAAAGAAAGTATTTGAAGAACATTTTTAATTTTCATTTGATGCATTGCAGTCAAAACCACACAAGTTTGGAGGGAAATACATGTGTATTTTAAATTGCAAAGTCTAAGTGAAATAGTACAACTGCATGTTTCCTTCCCATCTTACAATCTATGCAACTGTTTGCTGTGTTTCCATTCCTTTTTCTTGCATAAAATAGCAAAACGGTGAAATACTTCAAATGCTTGCCAAGTGCAGTGAAAGCTTTCATCAGATTAGGCTTGCAAGTCACAGCTTTAAGTTCAAAACTCTGAAGAGAATAAATTCAGTTTATTAGTAAAATATGTGGTAACATTCTGTAGAATTAGTTTTAGTACAGTAAAACTGAAATTACAGATTTTTTAAAATCTTTAAAGAATAGAAAAGGTGAAAACTTAATCATTTAACTTTATAAAACACTAATATCTCTTTGAGAACAAATAAGCTACATGCACCTTCTCATTAAAGATAGTTTCAGAAATACATTTAGAAATATCTGTCTATTTTAAAGGTGAAAACTTACTCAGATCTTTATATTTTACAAATACGTGTCTGAAAAGAGTAAGCGTGTGAGGAGGAGGAGGAGGAGAAGACTCAAATACTAGACACAGTTTGCAGGCGTGGGTGATGAGAAGAATTGCAGAGCTCAGAGGGAGAGGAGGTGGATTGAAGGAACATGAAATCCTACAGATATTATAAGCTCAGCAAGCCATGTGTTGAAAGTAACTACCCATAAGTAAAACTGCAAGTATGTTTTCTCTGGAGTTTAATACGAGCTTTTGCTATAGTACACAGAAAAGGAACATCCATTTCCAAATTTGCTTTTGCATTTGGGGGTAAAATGTAGGATTTCTCTATTACATTGAAAACAAAGCATAGAAAATTTTCCACAGTTTTGATCCTTAAATCTTTGAACAAATCTTCTCTTAACTAGCTACAAAATTACTGGAGAGACTTTTTCTACCTGATGGTTTGTAAACTTCAGTTGAACTTGATACTTTTTTATGGTGTTGAATACCATGTATTTGTCTTCCTTTAAGGTTGTACCTACACCCTGCTGATTTTGTGTGCAGTCTTGTAGCTAAAGCCACATACAAAATGCTGAAGTCTATCCAGGACTGTAGGGTACCTTAATAGCAATATCACACCTAGGGAATATACTATTCTTTCAATACTTGGGGTCTTCCAGCCCCTTACACTTTAATTCTTTTCCGTGTTAGATAAGCGTTACTGCTTTCTTCATGCAAGTCCTTTCTCAAACTCAAGGTAAAAAAAAAAAGCCTAAAGCATCTCTACCAGTAGGGGTATCTGAATTCAGATTCACAGTTATTTATGAAATTGCAGTATTTTAATGAGAAAATTATGCTTCTGCTTTTTTGTTAGTTGAGCTTTAATACAGTAAAGCATTTGAGGCAGAAACACTGGAATTCTGTCTTCTGCCACAGACTTTGGGTTTCTTGCCCTTAAAAAATGCTGTAGAAATGTTATGATCTTACAGCAGTGACATACGATTGTTGACTTCGGTTGTCATCATTGTATAGTCATGTAAAAAACAGAGATCAGCTCACCCTGGAAATTCGTTGTGTCAAAACCCCTCAGGATCTGCTTTCCTGTGTTTTGAGAAAATGTGTCAGAGCTCTGTGTGTGCTGATCCTGTATCAGATGGAAAACCACTCTGAGGTATGGATTGACTTGAAGACCTTAACAGCTTGTTCAGCAGAGGACTTGTAACAGAGATTAATGGCCAGGGAAACATTCCTGATGTGGAACTGCAAACTCCCAATTAGTTGATCTAGGCTGTCTTTGGAAATCATAATTTGATTCTCTCCAATCCCTGAAGCAGCCAAGAACCGTGAAGTACCAAAGTGTTTTAATGCCATTGTAGTCCCACTTGCTTTCTCAAGTTTGGATTCCTTGTTGTACCTAGATGTGGTCCAGAAAATGCCCTTCTAGGTTACCTTGCTCGTATTTAATTCATTTTATTCCGTAATGTTTACTGGTATGTGTGTTTTCAAAAGGATTGTCTGCTGGAGCAGGAGCTGGAGGTGTTGTTTATTTTCAGCTGAAATACAGCTCAGATACCGTTAGCCATGTTGTCCAAGACTCTCAAAGGAGAACAAGGAGTTTTCTAAAAAGTTTGTCAGTTAAGGGGTAGCTACATGTTATTAAGGGACCTAAGTTTGAGGTTGTGTTCAGGTTAGGGAAGTTACTGCTCTGATCCTAGCCACCTGTCAGAAGTACTGCATTTGTTAACGGGTGGGCAAGGTGCCACGTGGCTTTGCAGGGAGAGCTACGTTACATAATTACAGATCCTGTTCTTCATCCTGGTCATGATTTTGACTTTGGATGAGCTTTCCTGTCTCAATTTCTCTACTGAATGGTAATGCACATGTTGCAGAAGTATGTGCCTAGTATGAATGATGTGAATTAATGTGAATGCAAAGTGTAGTAAGGTAGTATCAAAACAAAGAGGAGACGTTATGCTTTTAAAACCCTTACTCACAACTGAATCACTAAGCTTGTTCTCTGAACCTGCACTGAAAGAGGGTTCAAAATATTTTGACCTCATTTGGATGGAATTGTGTGCAAATATATCTTCTAGATCTGTGTGTACCACAACCTTCAAATTGGAGATTTCTGACTGGTACTCTCACACGAGACTGATCCAGGTGTGCTCTTCACTCCTCCATCTGTGTAGCTCTTGCTCCTGCTGCTTCAAAGTCACGGTCAGGTTCTTCATCTCAATGGGTGTTGTTTTAAGTTTCACAACGTGGCTGCCAAACTGTCCTAAAAGAGCTTGCTCACAGGTAGTCCAGAACACTGCTTAGGAGTAAACAGCACACGTGAAGACTGCTTAGCTTGCAAAACAGAGAGATTCTCCATGTGTTATATGTCCACTACTGCATCATGTCTCCATTTAAAGAACTGCAATAAAAACAGGCCTTTCTTTGAATTAATTTAGGGTCTGTAGGGTTTCCTTGTCAGAGGTTTATGTGTACATAAAACGCATCAATCTTTTTTGTGTCTCCTGGATTTTATGAAGGACCACTTGGAATGCTTGGGACCAGGATTCGCCTAGGATCTTACTTAACTTGGTCTTGTGCTTTATGGATCTCCGTTTGAGCCTAAGGTTTTTCACTGCCTTTTGCTTGCGAATTAAATAATCTTGCTCACTGGGAAGAGCACTGATTATGAGAGTAGCAGAGCTACTGGTTCTTGTATTGGCTTGTATTTATGGCATGAAGTGTGAAGTCAAGCACAGAGGTTGTGTTTTATCACAACAGCAGCAGACTATCTTTCTTCATTCTACCATTCACTCGTCAGTGTTACTTAGTCCTTAGTAATGAGGATGGAGATGGTGGTGATGATGATGATGATGATGTTTTTAAACAAAAGCCCCTGATAACGGTGCCCTGAGCATGCAGAGCATCTGTGTTCACGTGTGCACAGCGACTTTCAGAATAACCGGCTTATGAATCTGGCTTTTAGGACATGGTATGTGGTGTCTACATGGAGCGTTCTCACCTGGGCTCTGCTAGTACAGGTTGGCTTTGTCTAGCCATTGACTCCATGGTTTTGGTGCAGCTTCCAGGAAAGAATAGTCCTGGTTTATTGGTATTGTCTTCAGTATGGGAGTAGCCAGAGATTCTGCTCAGCATTACTTGTGCTGGAAGTGTACATAAACAAAGCTGTGTAAGGACTCTACCCAAATAGCAAAAGAGGGAGAAATAACTCAGTGCTAATAACCTTACAGTTCTGTTTCTTTTGGTGTTACATCAGTGAATAAGTAGCGTTGTGAGCCAGCAGCCTGTGAGTGGAATCTTCTAATTTTAGATGATTCGGCATGGCCCGGTTCTTGTGCCCCAAACCTCTTCGATGATGAGAGCAAGTATCCTCACGCCAGTACCAGTTCTCTGCTTGGGTGATCTGAATCTCAAGAATCTTAAAGAAAAAAAGAAAGGCAGGCAGGGGGAAAAAAGAGGATGATTCATATCTTTGGAGGCTTATAATCAGCGCATGCATGATGTGCTCTGAAGCTAATGAAACAAGTTAGATGCTAGTGGGCTTTTCCAGACTCTGACAGAGTTGTTCGCTTGTTCTGTGCTCAGCACAGAATGCAACAGAGTGTAACCTAATTTTTTTCCGCAGACTTTGGTGACCTGGGTCTGAGTGATTGTAGTGATCGTGTGCTGAACATCTACAAGCTTTGCTAAGGAAATTGCACAGTGCTTTTTCTTTTCCTTTTAACAATGTGGCCTGTTTAAGTGGGATACTCAGCTGCTCTCGTGGGAAGGTAGACACTGGGAATATCTCTCCACATTTATTGAATTCTGGACAATTCTACGTTCTCTTGCTGTACTAAACCCTATTTTAATTCTGCCAACAGGGAGGTGCATCTCATTTTCACCCAAAAAAAGGAACAGATTTGGACCCAGCAGGGCCTTTGACAGGACTGAAACCACCCTTGATCATTTAATTTTATCAGGCTGAATTTCCCCATTTGCAGTATTGAGAGGGTTGCTTTCTGTGAAGCAGAAACTGAACAGGCACCGCATGATTTAGCATTTCCTAAATCTCAGAAACCATGAAACACAGTACTCAACTGCTGCTGCCAAGAAATCCTGGCAGGATAAGGGAGTTAGTACTGGCAGAGGGCATCCCTTTGTATTGCTCCTGGAAATGACTGCAAACACCATGATTCTGCTGCTTTTCCTTGTTTATGCTCTTTGAATTGGAGACAGGAAAAGCACCTGAAATGATGGGTCTCATCATCTGACTTTTGTTGTTCATTATGTACAGTCTTGTCTGA